TACTCGGAGCATTTCCTGTGTGACATGATGAATTTTTATTAATGATTAGAACATTGATTTGCTACTTATTAATTGATGTAATTGATATTATTTGTATGGAAATGATAAAGTATCAGGGGAGGGAAGTCGCACGATTGGTGAGATGTGAAAAAGAAGGCACTCAGTCAATGAGGAAGACTTCACTAATACAACTCATAACATTGATAATCTTCCTACTGATGTTGATATCACCCTAGACCATTTTGATGCTCTTGACAATAGTGTCAATCAAGATAACTCGTCTAAAGAAACTCTAAAAAGAAGCAAAAAGTGAGTTTCAACAAAGAAAAAAACTCGGAAATAATGGTGATTAAATTAGCCATTATTGAAGTTGCAGAAGCAATTAGAGAGGGAAATCACGCAATTAGAGAGCAAACTCAAGTAGTGAGAGAAACTTATCAAAAGCTGCCACAATAATCAGGGAACGAAATATAGAGCATGATTAAAGACGGTGACTTTTCACCAATTAATTTTGCTAAGATCTTTAGTGTTCTAATGTGTGATGTTGACCAACTGAAAACATTTGGTGAATGTCCTGGTGATGCACGCAAGGATTTGCTCATGGAGCTGATGATGAAGGATGTCATTGGGTCTAATTAGTCTATTATACCCATTGCTGTTATATTTGATGACCTTTGATGACTTTTGATAACTTTTGATTACTGTTGTGGTTTGCTAACCAAAACATGTTTGGATATGCACACCAGCCTGTTATGATTAATGCTGATGATGAGTTATGCTGCTAATGATGTAACACTTTTTTGTATATGGTTATTATGAAAGTTTTATCTCTACAAATTTACGTGAGAATTGCCTATGGAACGATTGTACCTATACACTTAAATTATTCATTACTTTTTTTTACTATATTTGGAAGTTATTTTTATATCCTAATTTTTAGTGAGATAGTTGAAATGAGATTTTATAAAAAGAAGGTATGAAAATTCGTTGTCATCATTAGCAAAAAAATATTCATTTTGATAATATTGAATGTATTACTTGTTAATTTTGTATCATAGTTATATTTATTTAACTTTAATTTTAGTAGGTGGTAAAAAACCATTCATTTCCATAATTATAAAATTATAATTTTATACATTAAATATAATTATAATTATATTTTAGTAAACATTTCACAAAATATGAACCAAATAAAATAAGGATAAAATTGTCCATATAAAAATATTTTCCCTTCTCTCTCCTCCTGAACCAAATAAGATAACATTAAAACCCCTCTCCTTCCGTCCTTTTCATTAAAACCCTCCCCTCCCTTTTTCCTCTTTTTTTCTCTATTAAAATCCTCCCCCTCTCCTCTTGGTTGAACCCAACACAGGGTTAGTGTGGGAATTGACATGTAATTAGATATATCCAAAGCATTGCTCGAGGAAACTGTGAATACAATAACTGGTTGGAGGCTGTATAAGGACAACTCCGGATTCTACAAAATCAGCTTGTGTTAATTAGTTTTAAAATATTCTATCATCAAATAAAGTATAAGCCTATCACTAAAAAAAAATATAAGGGGAAAATAATTAAATTATTCTTTACAGTAGCTCTTAAAATAAGAGACATATAGAAAAAAAGGGAAAATGGCAATTAGGTCCCATTCAAGGGAATTAAATACAAAAAAGTCCCTTGAAATCATGAAATTATTTTAAAGTCCCAAAAAAATTTTTGCATTAAATTTTATTTGTTTACTTACCAAATTACCCTTCTTCTTTTTTTTTAAGGTTGCATTGACAACTGAAAGAGCAGTGGTTGACAACTCAAGGTGCAAGGATTGACAACTATCGCGGCTGGTTTGACAACTTATGGTGTGATATGCTGAGAAAATGTGTTGTCAACCAGCCGCGATAGTTGTCAATCCTTACACCCTGAGTTGTCAACCACTGCTCTTTCAATTGTCAATACAAAGTTTTAAAAAAAAGAGAGGGTAATTTGGTAATTAAACAAATAAAATTTATTGCAAAAAAGTCCCTTGGGACTTCAGAATAATTTCATAATTTTAAGGGACTTTTTTACATTTAATTCCCTTGAATGGGACCTAATTACAATTCTCCCTAAAAAAATGATAAAATTTTTCTTGATCTTCAAATTTGAGTTCCTTTCTTTCCTCTAAAATCCCCAAAGCGGACTTAAATAGTTCAATTCACTCGACCGTCGTTACTCTCCCCTCTCTTTCCGCTGCCGCAATACGACACCATTTGTAGTCCAATGAGAAGTACAAAAGAAAGCTGACCTTGAAGTCAGAATCAGAAATGAGGAGGAAATGCTTATTATTCATCCTTATTTATGAGGCTCTCCCACCATAAAACACATTTTCAAAGCACCAACAAAATACTATGTTTACCCATTAATTAAAAGTAATGGGAAAATCTAGCTTCTTGTTTAATTAGATGTTTTGGTTCATGAAAATTTAAAAAAATCCTTCTATCCATTTATTGTTCTAACTTTTCGACACACCTATTTTTAAAATTTCTCATTTAGCATTTTATAAATCAAGAAATCATTTGTCATTTTTTGAATAGAAAATAAATAACTTAAAAGGTAAAATTTTAAAAAACACACAAAATTATTAAAAGATATTTATTTGATTGCTGGGCTATAAACCCTTTTTAAGATATTTGTTTGGTTAATAGGCAAAAAGAGTGCTTGTTTGATTTTTAATATGCTTTGACAGTGGGCTCCACAAATAGAAATTATCGAAATAACAAAATGAACCCCCCCCCACAAAATTTCCTTGCCCCATAAAATGGTAATGATAAATTCTGAAAAATGAATGTCAAGACGCAAAATCATACTAATGATGAATGTATGTAAGATTTGTTTTTAATATTTGATGAAACACAACAAATTATTAAAAAAAATTTTTTTAATGTTTTGATAGTGAATCCTACAAGTAGAAATTAATGAAATGACAAAATAATTCATCATATATATGTGTTTAAACATTTAAAAAATTTTCAAAGTTTTTTAAAATAATTTTATTTCATAAAAAAGCATATCAACGAAATCATTTAAACTATGAACTAAATCTTATATTAAATTATTAAGCACATACGGTAATATTTATGCATAGTTTGGAAAACTTCATAAAGACTTTAAAAAAAAACTTTTATATGTTGAGACAAAACTATTCTCATATATTTATATCTTATTCTGTAAAATATCTTTTAAAAGCTAATCCAAACACCCCTTAACTCCGTCAAAGGAACCATTTTTCATGTGTTGGATACGCTTCTCCTTACTAGACGACGAGACTGTTCACCTTTCTCCCATTTGTACCTTTTTTTTTTTGGGTACAACCCATTTGTTTTTCTTTACATTTTTGTTTGGATTCTTTTTAATAAAAAGACAACTCTGTTTTTTCCCCCTAAAGTATAGATATCCTTATATTGGAGACAGTCCTATTCAAGATACTGTCTGGTAGTAAATGTGGGTACGTCTCCTAATAAAAATTCGAACCTTGATTCATCACGTTATGAGAAATTAGTTTCTTCCGGTAGATCTAACCCTCGTTAGTAAAAAGACAGCTCTTTTGGTTACAGGAAAAAATAACTTTTATTAAGTAGCAATAAAAAAAAAAAAAAAAAAAGCCATCCTACTCAAGATAAAGGAAGAGGGCCCAATACAGTTAGTCCAACATCCAACGAAGAAACCAGAACACATGTGCACGCAGGAAACCAACAAAAGATACAAGAGCATTGTATCAAAAAAAAAAAAAGATACAAGAGCAAGTAAAATAGGGCCGAATAGGAGAGAACACCCGCGGCTAGCAACATGCGAGAAGCAGCCCAATTCTCGTTTCTTCGTTCTGAAAATTGCTAACTCCCAAACTTCAACAAACCCAGAGTAAGCTCATAACTCACAAGATCATAAGTTTGAATCTAACTGTTAGTATGAGGACTTTGTTAGTAGGTGATATATAAATACCCCTATAAGTGCTTTTGTATACACGAAGATATAAGGGGAAAAAAAATTTCAGATACTTGGTGTTCTTTGGTAGATATTTTCAAAGTATAGTACTCCTCCGGTCCTTATTATAAGATTCAATTTGACTTTTTATTTGATCCTAATTATAAGACCGAATCCATTTTCTCTCTTATATTTATGCATTTTTTCCAAGATAATCCTTCTAATAATGATAGTTTTAGCCAATATACTTAATTAGCAAGGATATTTTAGGAATAACAACACTTATTTATTATAAATAACCAACTTAACTTACTTCCTTAATCTCTTCAAATAAGTCAATTGGGTCTTATAATTAGGACCGGAGGAGTATTTAAGTATATTATCCCAAAAAGAAAAATCCCAAACTTCGGGAGTGTTGAGAAGTAGGTACATGGAACAAGGGAGAGATAGATTAATAAGTATTCCCAATGTATTTTAGGAGCAATAATGAAAATAAATAAAATAATATTTAACATCATTCAAATTATCTAAAAAGAATATCTTGATATACCTAGGTCATTAGAGAACAATCACTACATCAAGAAATAAAATGTGTGATGGAAGAAAATTAAGAAAACATCATCACAAATTAATTTTATCTATATATGATTTTTTTTTTTAAATTCTCCTCTACTACTTATTCATCTGTTGAACACTAGCCTAGGGAAGTGCATAAAGTTTGAAATATATTGAAGGAATTTATAAATTCTCATAAGCCTCCCATTAATAACAAAAATTTCAAAAATGACACGAATAAAATTAACATCATAAAAAAGCAAATTCATTTCACTGGCAAATAAGGTCCACAAGAAATGCTTCTCCCAATATTTAGCGGGTAAGAACACCTGTTAAAAGGTTGGGTCCTCCAATTGAGAGTGATCCTCGCATGCTTTAATTTTCTCCTAATATTTATGCTTGGTCCCCCCCCCCCCCCCCAAAAAAAAAAAAATCATCAAGCATGAAGTTCAGAGCCTACTGAATCGGGTTGAGAGAGTAAAGATACAGAATAAGCCTGAAGAAGCAACCTTACTAAGATTAATTTTGCCATCACTCACATTTTATACAAATAGCCATATCCAAGTCTTTCAGATAAGAGGATGAATGTCTCAACCCTAACAGTTGAAATTCTTCTATAGTAGATGCAAATTGCAATTACCAACAACAGCATCAAGTAGCCATTTCATGCATGAAAGGTGATTGACTATACTATGAATAGGCCTTGATCTACTACAGTATAATCTGCTGAATCATGTAGGTGACTTGAAAGTTCTGCAACAAGACCTGGATCATAATACTCTGGCATTCCTATATTTTCCAATCCCCAGTTCATATTATAGCATTCACCATGCAGCCAATAGAAATGCAAGTCCTCGTCCAGTGGTAGCGAAGCCACCTCACCTCCCAAAACTAGGTTTTCGGGATAAAAAGCCAGGTCAGAATTGATGCCTAGATTGATGCCCTGAGTTTTCATGTCCAAATTCTTAGTTGAAGTGGGTTCTGAAAGTTGACCATTCTCCATAAGGCTCTTGGACTGTGTAGGAAAGTTGTCCACTACACTCCCTATTGAACTCACAGGACTGGCATAGTCACTTTTGTGATCAGTATACATTGGCTTAGTTTCAATGGAGGCAGCAATCTCTCCCTCTGTGATAGAGGGGTTGGAACTAACTGAAGCAATTGAATGTGATTGGTCAACCTGGACTGGATGCTGCGGGACATGCAAGGGTAAATGACTGAAGCTATCTTCCAATTGAAGAAATGACTTGTGTTCTTTCTTGAGCGGCATCTCTGGAGTTTCATTCCAGGTGTACTGTGTCGATGGGACGGTGCAATCAAATACTGCATGGCTTCCTTCTGACTCAAGGGGTCCAAAAGAAGAATGCTTAAGATTTATCTGGGAACTTACTTTTGTATCAGGAATGCTTCCAGACAAAGTTCTTTTTTCTTCTGCAGAATCTGAAACAGTTGCCTTGAGATCACCGTTGTGAATCTTGGTCTCAGAGGTATGACTCTGTAATGTTACATCTGAATATTTGTAGCTGTCAACTGCAACATCGTTTTGCTGCCCGTTTGTTGTGTTCTGAAATCCAAAACTTCCAGCAGTGTCTCTTGGAGGCAAATCTGAACGCTTGCTCCCACTTGAGGAAGATCTCTGTTCATTTTCTTTCTGCAATCTACTCAAGTAGAGCCGGTATTTCTGCAGAAACAATTCTCAATGAGGCCTCATTGTTTTCAAACATCAAACTAGATAGAGAATAAGCAACAGTTTTCTCTAAAATTTGTTTAAAGAACAATGGTGGGGAAGTTGTTGCACACTACTTTTATCAAAAGTGATTTCTCATGTGTACTAGCGACAGCTAAGTTATCTGAAATATTATCTAATCCAGATGGCAATCTAAAAGAAAGACATGATACCAGCTTCTTTCTTAATAGTCTTCAATTGTAATACACTGTGTGTGTATATAATAATATCTCTGGTTCTAAATATAAGATCAACTTGGCAGTGCAAATAGTGGATCTTATATCTAAAACCAGAGGTAATATGAACTAACAATTGAAGTAATGCTCAGGGACTAGGACACATACCTGCAAATGGCTAGCAACATTTTCTCTCGTCAGCCAAGGAACATTCATCAAATCCAGAATTCTTTTGGGGCCAACTTCTGCCAAAGAGAAGATAGGCATTAATAATATCCTTATGCTTGACACTGGCCATTTAGCAACAAGATTATGCTTTGGTATCATTCTTTTGTTCATAGAGAGGTCAATTCTCTTTGGTAGATTTCAAATTAAAATAATTATGATGATTCAGAAAACTTACTGTCAAATCCAATTTGGTTCACAGCTTTGACAAATTTCTGATGAAGATCCACAGACCAGACTACTCTGGCTTTCTTGGTGGAAGATGGATCTCCAAATTCTTTGTCATCATGTTTGCTATCAAAGTCTTTTCGTTTCCTCATGGAATTCATATCTTCAAGGGCAAATGACATCCCATCTTCCGACAGATCTGATCCATTTCTCATTAAATGAAGGCCCTCAAATCCTTCATGACCTTCAAATTCTCTTGCCTCATGAATCCTCTTTCTGAACACATGTTGCCATATGTTTCGTAGTTCTTTCATTCGAATTGGCTTGAGGAGATAATCGCATGCTCCATGTTGAACACCTTTCATAACCCTGCTAGTCTCTCCATCTACAGACATCACTGCCCAGCATCACAAATTTCAGCTTGTCAGTGGATGGACTTTTTGGAGTCAATGTGATCAAAGATCATTTAAAGAGATAGTTGAATATATAATTCTAAGGGAACTGACTTATGACAGGAAGATCCATCTCCAGCCCAACATGCTCAAGAAGTTTAAAACCATCCATGTCTGGCATGTTTACATCACTAATAACAATGTCGTATCCATCTTTCCTTTCGCGAAGCAAGTTGAGAGCCTCCCTTGCTAAGCCGCATGTGGTCACTGAAAGAAACACAAAAAATCAGAGTTACTGTTAGAAATAAGGCAATGGAATGACAAAGGATACCGAGGAGGGTGATGTCCAACATGAATACTTCTATTTATAATATTCAAGGAAAAATACAGTTTATTAACGCAATACATGATTAAGATGATTAAAAGAATAGGAATAAGTTCGGGAAGTAATGACTCCATTAGGTCAATATGATTAATGAGTTGAAGTCCGATTTAACCTGTTGATTAGCAGAGTATCATGAAGAACACCATTATTTGTGTGTTTAAAACTCCAACTGGTACCAGTGCCTTTTAGATTAAGCATCAGGCAGCCTGATGCATTGTCCAATCTCAAAGCAATCATATCAATAGTTCAATAATGTTTAATATTACATGGTTTGCTTCAGGCCTCCAACGAGAGAAAACCATATTCTCGATTGTCAGTTTAACATTGTAATAGAAATAAGGTTAGCTAAGACTTCCAAATCAAGTTAGATCTCATCCAAGTTGGGCAGTTTCAACCTTCAGTCTTTCCCAAGGAGCGGGGGGTAAAAAAAAAACAGCTGTTACTTAGCTTAACCAAAGGTAAGCACATATACCATTTTCCTCACTTCATAAGATTTAATTTTACTACTGGATACAAAGACAATATCTTTTGCAGGTATTGCATTCATATCTTACATTTGAAGAGGCCACTGAAACTGTATACTCTCACTGGTTCATACAGTCAAATACTACCTCCAGTCTTATTCATAAGACCTCATTTGTAGACTATAAACGAGGTCTTATAATTAGGACCGGAGGTAGTAGTTTATTAACAAGGCATAAAAGTAAGCAAGTGCAAATTTTCTCTTTCATGAAGGCAGGAACAAACCGCACATGTTTCCAATGGGCAAAGAGAAGAGGCTACTGAACCAGTCAATTCTAAAGATACCAGTACAGTTGAAAGATCAAAAGGAATCAAATTCGACAAAGGCACTTCTTTTATTCACTCTCCATATTGTTTTTTTCCACAGAGAGCCATATTTGATCAAAGACTCGTGACAACATAAAACAAAGTGTATAATTTGATAATGACCCCGTTCAGTCCACCATAGAAGAACAGAACTAACAGCGAGCAAGTTTTTACTTTGAAAAGTATCTCCCTTTAAGAAACCCATGTGATTAAACTATCAAGTAACACTTCAAATTCAACCAGAAAATTTAAACGCATGTAATCACCATCGGAACATGAAATCATCATCAGAAGTATCCTTATTCAACCTAAAATTTGCTAAATATTCAAAGCCATATTACATACCAAGAGGGAACCTTTGTGGTAGCACATTGAACAGAAAAAATGAAACAAAAAAACATGACTAGTCCCATAACATATCAAATATTCAAAAACTGGACCGAAACCGGGATACCCATAATTAAACCAACAGACAGAGAACAATAAAAAAATTTCGATAAATATTGAAGCCCCTTACTGAAAGATTATACTGATATGCTCTTAGCACGTCATATAAGCAGCAGAAACACGAAAGGGAAAAGGCAAAAGTAGGGAAAGAAGGAAGAAAACCTTCATAGGAGCACTTCTTGAGCATCTTTTCAAGGATCCTTATCCATGTTGGATCATCATCAACGACGAGAACTCGCAGACCAGCAGGAAAAGCGTCGCGTCGCGGAGAAGAGAAACTACTGTCCATGTTTGTTGGAGGAAGAGGTTACAGTACGGTCGGATTCAGATTGCGAGAGAACAAGAATTGTGCCAAGGACGAGTTTTCCTGTGAGAAATGAAAAAGGTGGCTCATTTGGGTTTTTAAACTGAGTGGCGAAAAAAACAAATGAAAAAGCAGAGAGAGAGAGAGAGAGAGAGCATCCACCAACGAATATTGGCGCCGGATGGCTAACCGTCTCCGCGGCGCAGAATAGTTTGGAGGCAAAACTGGCGTAGGTTCCATTTTTTTTAATGGAATTTATAAAATAAATTATAACATTTTTTTGCCAACAAAAAAAAATTATAATATTTATGATTCATGAATAATCTAATTTATTGTTTTCCTACCAAAAAAAAATCTAATTTATTGTTTTATATATTCAATTTAGTTCTGCTAGAGCTAGTGGAGCATGACTTTTTTTTCAAAATAACTGTTGCATTGTATATAGATTACTTAAATATTTTTAACTTTAAAAATATGTTTAAATTCCTTTTAACATTTCGAAATTAAAATATAGATGTATGCATTTTTTAACTCCTTAATCCTAAAACTGTTAACAAAAAAAATAATATTGATATTTTGAATTGATAAAATATTTTTTAATACTAACATATATTAAGTTTTTTATTTTCAAAATAACTATGATTGTTACTAAACATCATCTAAAACTAACGATTTTAGAATTAAAGCATTATATATATTTTTTAAAGTTAAAAAATCAAATTAAAATCTTATATAAAGTTAAAAAACCAAATATAAACGTTAACCTATATAAATTGGTTCAAATTATGGTGAGAATTAATTTGCATAAAATTTTGCATTTATAAGAATTAATTAGATGGACCTCATGTGCGGGCTAAGTCTAATGAGAAGTTAAACTACTCATTGTTAATGAAATAATGTTCCTTATAAATTTAATAACTAATAGTGATTTATTAAAAATAGTAAATAGTGAAAATTTATTATTTTATTTTTAAAAGTAATGTGCTTCTTGTAAGAAAATTAACATTATAAATATATGAGAAAAGTTTCAAGAGATAAAAATTACTTAATTTTTTATATTTAAATAATAAAAAGTTTATTTATGCGCTTTGGGTAGTTAAATGGGGTTGGAAGAGAAATGATCCTATCCCATCTGACAATGAGTTTTTTTTTTTTTTTCACTGCTACAATGTAAGGAGTTATCAATATAAAGTAAGACAAAATTTAGATGTTTTTGTTTATATTTATTAAGTCTAATTTTTCAATCAAATCTTGTCATGCATTTTTATTCTTAATAATAGTCTAATAGAACTATATTTTGGAATTTTATTAATATGAAGTTTTATTACTAAGGAAAACTTATATGCAAAAATTTGATTAAAAAGTTGGACCTAATAGTGATGAGTAAACGGATCTAGGTTTTGTCCTATAAAACATCAAATTCAAAGCTATTGTCAAAAGCAATTTTTTTTATTTTTATAATATTTCTCCCTACTTTCTTTATGAGTTTCACATACTTTTATTTAATTATTTCTTTAACCTTTCTACGCACAATTCAAAAGAGCTTAAATAGTAGAAAGTTAATTATATTTATACGAAATAAAATATAAATTATTTTTTTATACATATCACAGAAAAAGTTATAGTTAAGTTTCTTTTGGTAATAATACAAACGCTCGAACAATAATTTATACAAAGAACAGAAACGATTAGGTAGAGGCATGTAAGCCATTAACATGAAACATACATAGTCTAAAGAAAGGTTTTTACACCCAAGAGGAGTCAAATCGATAATAATAAAGTTTGATATATATGGCCAAAGTAGCTGACGAGTTTTGCATAGCCGTCTCTCTGATCTCATTGATAATACCCATTGGAAAGTGCTGACTAATTAATTCATTTTGAATCAAATTTAAAATTTAGCTATAAAGAAGTAATTTTGCATTGCATAAGATAAATATGTGAAAATAAAGACTTTTGTTTTCCATAAAAAAAAGTATTTATATAGAAACCAAATCATAATTTTAAAAGTAATTTTACGGTATATAAAAAAACTATACGAGATGAGTATGAAAACACTTTTAAAAAGTATTTTTGGAGGTATCCAAACACCTCTAAAGTGACAAAAACACTCATTTGAATTTATTTTAAAATGGTCTAAAAGGATATTTTCAATCTTAATTTATAGATTACGAGGAAAGTATGTAAGATGGTAGATCCAAACAAACTTAAATGGTCAATGTCAAACTTAAGCACCCAACAGTTGGAGAAGGTCTTGGCTGGAATTGCACATCACATTGGATGACAACTAAGTTTCTTATTACAACTTCCAGTTACATGCAACTAGTCACATTTTTTAACAGCTTCTTCATAATCACAAATATAAAGGTTCTGATGCGTAAAAAAGGCTTCTTCTTTTCTTTTTTTGAACTATCCTCATTCAAGCAATTAAACTTCTTTTGCATCTTAGTTCATATGATAGCTGGCAGGTGTAGGTGTGAACAAAGAGTCTTTGCTAATCAAGGTAGGAGACTTTTACTGCCGAAAGACAGAGAGAAGTTGAAGGAAAAACAGTAGTGGAGACATTAAAGAACATGAAACACGGAAAAGCAAGGTTAAATTCAAGTGCTTTTTAGTTATTTCGTATCATTCTTAACATAAAAACTACTTAATATTAATCTATATAGATTAAGTCAAATACGTTAGTATATAATCACATCACATCTGTTATAATAATAAATATAACAAATAAAATGAATTAAGGTTTTATACTTAAAAGTAACTCTTAGATCCTAATAAGAGCATAGATTATATTCCAAAGTTGAAAGAATAATGTTAGTGTTTTTTTTTTTTTTTTGAGTAATAGGAGAGGGTAGGTTTTGTGGGATTCGTTAATTATGTTTGGTTGATGACAACGGAGGTACAAATGTACGGCTTACAAGGAAAGAATCCAAACCTCATTGGCTTATTATTCAAATATTATTTTATATATGACACGAATCAAATAAAAAGAAGACCATCATGGCTTGGCCTATCTGTTTCATTTTGCTTTCTGCCCAAAAGGAATTCATTTCATGTTTTGGTGGAAAGGCACGTGGTCTGCACTTGCATCACTGGATGGAATGTTCTCGTTTGATGCATTATTAATTAATTAAGAAGATGATGATGGTGATGAATTATTGTTATTTTATCCTATATAAGAGTGTGTGTGTGTGTAATTGGTGTTATTATTTTTTTTAAAAATACAATTAATTAAACCAAACACACAAACATGTCAGTATTAGATTCAGAGCTGAAATATTCCCCTAAAGTAATAGACTGTTGCATGTGGCTAAGGCAACTCGCCATGGACTCACCAATTAATATTGTTGTTGATAATGTTATTATGCAATAATTATTATATTTTAATATGTAAATATAGAAAAAAGAATTATTATTTTATTTTCTTAAAAAAATTATTGGGATAACAACAAAAAAAATATATTTAATTTCAAAAAGACAAATAGATCATACTAACTACTCTTATAATGGTTTTGATATATTAAAATCTGTTAAAATCACCTATTTGCCATGTTGGAATTTAACAGCTAATTTTTTTGGTTATTTTTCAAAAATTATTTCATTTTGTATACATTAATTAGAGAATATCAACTTGGAACTTATTTGCTTTAAATTGCAGTTGATTCTGAATTATTCAATATTGAACCATCATTCTCATCTTTTTTTTTCTTACATGAAAATCACTCTCATCTTTCAACCGGTATATGATCTTTCTGCTTTTACTTAAATATGTTTATTTATGTTACTCCTTCGCCAATTATTTAAGCTCGAATGAGTGAAGTTGTACAATGACCAAGATAAGTGTCTTCATTTATTTTGCTAAACCTCCTTAAGGATTTCTAAGAAAAATATTTAGTAGTATATATATAGATAGATTAAAGTTTACAATCATTCATTGAGAAAATTACTTTGAAAAGGTTTAAAAGAGAAAGGTGTGCATGTTGGAGATATCAAAGTGATACAAGATAATACCTCTAGTCCAAAACATAAAAGACAATTTGTAATGTAATTTATCCTACAAATTAGCTCTTATAGTTAGGACGGGATATAATATACGAATATATTATACAGGTGTATAAGTCCGGAGTTTTAAGGTGTTGTTCGGAGTTTTATTTTGAGTTTTAATAGCCTTTTTAACTCTGATTTTTTAGGATAATTGGTGTTTAAGCTTAAATCTTGGTGTCTGGTTTGGGATCAAAGTGAGTTGGAGAAGCAGGTGAACAAATCACTCTCAAGATTTGTTCGCTGTGACAAATCGGAGAGTATTGGCAGAGTTTCCTTTCAGGAATAGGGTTTCGTTGTGACGAAAGATACTCAAGTGAGCGAGAGTTCCTCTCAGGAAAAATCTCTCGCCGTAATGAAGTGTAAGTTGGCCATGACAAGGTTGGTTTTCCAAGTCAGAAAATCCCTCTCGGGGTTAGTTAGTCGTGACAAATCCGTGTGTTTGCCGCGACAAAAAGGTCACGTCTTTAAATACGAAGAAAGGGTCTGATGTGCAAAAATCAGATTTTCTAGAGGTAGGAGTTGAAGCTCTGCTAGGGCTTCATGTTTTTGGCTTGGGGAAGGTGTTTCTAAGGGTCCATTGCCTCAAGTAAGTGGATCTAATCTCTAATTTACTCTTTCTCTTGGGATTTTTAACGATTTTGTAGAGGAATCCTAGGGCTTTCTAGTTTTTGTTGGAATTGAGGTTTTTGACCAATTGTTTTGAGTTTAAATGATTGCTATTGGTTAGTCTAAGTATTTAATCGGTGTAGTTTTCTTGGATTTGGAGATTTTGAAGTTTTGGGATTTTAGGGTTTGTGAAAATGGAGGTTTATGATTGAGGATGATAACGTATGGTTGAAATTGAGTTGTGTGAATTGGATTATGTTAAGGAGGGTTGCATTGGATGTTTAATCGGTCTAGAATGTTAGTAGGACTTGATTTGCTCTAATTGGGTGTTTGGGTGATGAATTTCTAGAGTGGGACTTTGAGTTTCTGAATTCAATTGATGTTTTGGAAGGGAAACTAGATTGATAATGGTCTCTTGTGTT